ATTAACCAATGATATTTTTGCAATATCACGGGATGATCTACAAAAATCAGCCAATTACAATGAAAGCCCGCTATGCTAGTCTAACATAATTAATCAAAGTTGCAGATTAAAAATTTTTATTTTTATTATTTTTTAATTTTTTTTTACAATGCAAATTCATTTTCTTAGTTTTTTATTACCGGTAATTTAATTAAAAATTTTAAATTGTAACTTTGTTTAATCAGATTAATTAATCGTTTGATGTATAAATTGCTAGAAAAAAACAGTTGGTACGTGAGATGAATCAATTTTTAAACACTAGCCTTCGTTAGTAAATTTAACGATTTTTCTGATCTATGCATAATCTGCACTCTAGATTTATTACAACACTTTACATATATTTGATTAATTAATATATCGGAAGCCCCAACGTCCTATGAAAAGCCCCCCTCCCTAAATGCACGTCTTCTCTTGGGCCCAACTAATATTACGCCTATAAATCTTTACCTCCTTAAATTTCAATGACTAGCTTTTACAGATAGGGACTTTAAAAGAATATAGCTTTGCGATATATTGCCGTTTAAAATAAATTCAGACGCTTTTATTAATAAATGTGCACTAAGGCCACGCCAAATTAAAACTATGTTTAACATAACCTCCCTCCCCCTCTTTTTGAGCCTCAGATAGAGGGGGTAATAAACATCACTTAATATAAAAATCATATTAATTGTTCAAAAAAATTTTTTTTAGCCAATCAAAATCTCATGCCCCTCCTGTTTAGAGTTGCAGATCATTTATTAGTGTTATGTTAAACATAGAATCAAATTGGAATGGCCTAAGTTGTTTTCAGAATTAATCTAAGTTAGGCCGAAATATTTGACGATTTGAGTGATATAAAATCTCGGATCGATTTAAGTGTATCTTGATCGAATCGTTAAACTCGTCTAACTCGTCTATAAAGTTATAAAAATGTCAATCATCGAGCAACAACACGTAAGAGTTGATAAAATTATGAACCATAAGCGAGACTATTTTATTAATCAATTAGTATAAATAAATAAATAAATAATACAACCTGATCGAACTATCTATCTTTAAAAAAGTTTATGTATAAATTTTATTACAGAACTCATAAAATACTAAAGATGTTTGTTCGGACCATCTCTAATTATGTATATTTTAACATTAATTTAAATAAAAATTTGCCACATGAATATTAACTAAATAAAAATTTGCCACATAAATATTAACTAAATAAAAATTTGCCACATGAATATTAAATAAATATATTTAAGCAACTAATTTACCTAATTCTATAATAATTGTAATTACAATAGTTAATGTATAAATATTAACAATATTTCCAAATTTACTAGAACCATCACTTTTTTTAGATTGACCGGGGTTATTATTAGTATTCTCAGAATTTGAAGTGGAATTTGAAGGGGTACTATCACATTGAATATCCCATAAGACATTAAAAGTTACATTAACTGATTGAGAGTTAAGATTCTTTATCGCCATAACAAAATAATATTGATTACTTGAAATTTCATAACCACTATTACATGGTAAACTTGGACAAGAATTTTCGAGCGAAGGAAAATCGGTTCCAATACTTTCAGGCGCAGTTTTGGATTTATATTCCCATACGTACATTTTAAATTGGGAAGCGTTAGAACTTGGATATGGATCATTAATTGAAATGCTGAGAGGAGATCCACAATTACTGTTAAGTGAAGCTGAACTATCAGCGAGTGTCAAATTACATTCTATAATATAAATTAAAAATTTATTAATATAGACATTTTTTATAATAGTATAATTAAACTTAAAATACTTGCGATGAGCAGAAGAAGCTGTGTTAGACCAAGCCCACCAAACACCATTTGCAGGAATTTGAACTGTTGCTGAATTCGCATTAGTCTTCACTGTAATATATTATTTAATGGATTGTTTTTATATTAGTATATATACAGTTAATAATTGAGTTATTCCCCGTTTTACTAAGTTTTTTAAGGGGATTTACGTAATATTTTTGCAAGACTTGATTTTAAACTCAGTTGGGAAATAGCCTCCGGCCGTCAATTCATTTATCCCCTTAACGGGGGAATAATCGAACATTATTTCCCCGGATTTTTTCTCTTCGACTCTTATCAGAGCCGAAACGATCCTGGGAAATATTTCATTATTCTCGAGTATTTAATGATAGAATTATAATTAAACTTTACCTATTTGCAGGATTAAAAGGAGTATCAATATAAAGAAATATTTCTTCATCCTTTTTATTTTATTTTTTTTAGTATCAACACTTTCAACTTTGGGGATTTCGTGAAGAAATATATTAAGATAATACGACTATGATTTTATACTAATTAGGAAGAAAAAGCCCACTATAATAATTAAATCTAAAACAGGTTACACACAATTTATACCGTGAAATGTTTGGATCAATTTTTGCATCACCTTACATCATCAGTCTGCATAATCTGGCAAACCAAAATGGCTTTTTTTAAAAAAAACGCCGTGATTCAAATTTGATTTATATATTTAAAAAAACTTTTATGCCAAGAAAATTTTACGTATTATATAATAATCATAATTTGACTAAATTAGGTTTAAACTTTATAATTAAATTGAGCTTAACAATTTAAAGTTTATACGTATGAAAAAAAAAAATTTGGCCGCTATGAACAAAAAAACTTAATAATTTATATAATAATATTATCCAATCATATTGCTTGTTTTTTATGTAACAACCCGGAAAAAAGTAAAAAGCAAATCAATAATAAATAAATATATATGCAATTAAATTATAAGTTTTAAACATCTTTATGATATTTATAAATTCAAAATTGTCTTTGTAAATATTTTGAATTAAGTACGTACGTACGTATGTATGTGGATTGCTGTAAAGGTTTGGATTTCTAGAAATAACAGTCCATGTTACTGGTGTACAACTCTACAATTGAAAATCATAATGCGTAACATTAATGTTAATTAATTAGTATTGCAATAACGGTAAAGAGATGCCACACCATATTAACTTCTTTTTAAGATAAAATCACATGAAATTAAATAATAACTCTTTATGGTTGGCTATGTTCATTTATAATACTGTATTAACGAATTAAATTTAATTATATACAAGAATATGTTTTCGACTTTTAAAGGTACTTCTAAATTCGGTTTATTTTATATTATTACTTTTTGAAGATCGAAAAACGGGTTCTATTTTTCATTTGCATTCTTAAAAAGTATTCAAACTCTATGAATACAGTTGTGAATAATTGCCAAATCAGAAAACTTTTATCCGATAAAGTAACTCGTTTTTGCAAAGTGCAATAATCAATTCTCCTTATCCATTATCCTCCACCTTTGTTTTACTATGCTAGATTTCTTTTTATTATTATTATAATTACCATATTTAGTATTTCAAATGATTTATTTTAATAAAGAAGAAATTATCGGTAGTCTACGGTTGACTTGTTGGGAATACAGTAATAATAGTTCTGCTATTATGTAATTTCCTATTAAGGTTATAAATAAAACTGGAGCTAAAGTTCGATGGTTAGCTAAAAATAAAAGTAAATATTTAACTTATTGTTTATTCTAAAAATAGATGTGGATACAAAAAATCTGTCTGTATAATATTATCACGAGCCATGAATTATATCTACCAAGCCAAATAAGCACGGAAAAATCGTACCACTATTCTTTACCAGGCATTTTGTGTAAATAATAATTATATCTTGGAAGCATAAATTTAGTCTTAAGATTCTTTCAACCACTTAAGCTCGTTTAATAGGTTGATACCTTTTAAATGATATCTTTAAATGATTTTATAGATGACTACACTTTATCATTTTAAATTTCCGTATTTTTTTTTTTTTTGTAGCAGATACGATAGAATTCTCGTAATTAGTTTATCACATGAAATTTTGTTTGGTCGTACTGTAGGTAGCATGTGGCAAACAAATAAATTTGCATCTATCGATTTATGAATTATGAAAAAAAGTTTGTCGTATAAACTTAGCATGTTTTTTATAAGCACATCCCCGCTTTCTATACTAGACTAATACAAATAGTACAGTATGTACTTAAAAAAATGTCCAGAATTTATTATAAAGAGGATATTTATTATGAAGTGTCAACCGTAATAATCCTAAAAGTTTCTATCAATCTTATTTAATAACTCCATTATTATGTATTAAGTATCCTTATTATCCTAAAAAGCTCTATTAGGTGGTTTCAAAGTTAAAATCAGAGAATCTTATTTTATTTTTCCGATTTATAATTCAACATGGTAAAATACTATTGAAAAAATCCTATTTATTTTCGAAATGTTTGTTAACTTTGAAACCCCAATTATGAAAAGTTTTACTTTAGGCTATACAAAATTAATTTTTTGTTTCTTATAATTTGAAATTTTAAAAATGATCTGGCAATCTGACCTTTAATTTTATTTTTATAAGATTTGACCCGGCCGTTTATGAGTAACAAT